GTGAAGAGGTGCAGGTCTAGTTTGGGTGAAGGTAATGGAACATCGTTAGTGATATTGGATCAGCCCAACCACCAATACAAATTATAGGGTAATGAATGACACAGGTGAGCCAGTGAGGTCAAAGTTTCCTGTGACAGATTCCTCTGGTTGTGCAAGAACCAAAGGAGAAGGTGCATATGTGTGCAACCTAAAGAGTTAAGCATTTCTAGTGAAGCCATGGTCTCCAAACACTAAAAACCTCTCTGCATTATGAGTAGGATAGGTGGAAATTCTGATGACTAGTAGTTCCATAGATTGCAGGCAGATAGGAGAATGCTGAGCACAGCTGTGAAATGAATTGAAAAACACTCCCAGGTGAATAAAGTATTGAATAGGGGTGAGAAAAAATTTGGAAGTGTTGATAAACACCAGCTCCTTGTAGATAGATGTGATTGGAAAGAGGAAGGAAACATGATGAGGACTGAGGGGAAGAGAATTGGTGAGAAAGTTAATGGGTAAAAAAGTAGAGTAACCCCTGAGCATATGGCAAGTGTGACAACAAGAGCTCAAATCATGACAGCTGGGAACCCATAGAACCCAACTCAACTTAATCATCACTGAGGAGCTCGATAAGTCTAATTCCTGGTAGGAGAGGAAAACTGGGAAGAAAACTGGGAAGTGGAAATTAGAAAGATGGAAAACTGGGGACTAAGATAAGGTACAATGGCAGAGAGTTGGGTTTGGGACAGTGTGGAGATAAAGGAAAAAATGGAGGATTAATGATGGTCAGCCTCAACCAATGATTCAATCAAATCAGGAATACCTCCAAAACTTCAAAGCAAAGAAAGGAGGCTAGGTAAAGATCTTGTAGAAGGGAAGAAAGAAGTCAAACTTGGGATAGGAGAGTATCCATACCCAACAATTCTCAGCAACAAAAAGGCAAGTGAGCAGGGAAGTGGTAGAAGTGGAATATGTCCCAGTTGAGAAGTGAAGTGAACAAGAATTGCCTGCAAATTTCTCTGGGCATGGTGAAGTGCTTCAGACTTTGGGTGTAGAGAGTAGAAGTAAAGAAATATAGTTTAATAACTATTTACAACTATTAAGGAAGTAAGCTAATTTACCTTTGCCAGTCTCTGAAACATTCAAGACCTTCCCATTTTAGAAGGAACATTTCAGTGACCTCATTAAACAGTTTGCCTGAGCAAATTTGCAACATACATTCAAATATCCTTAACTTAAAACATATACTAACATATGACACTACATCAACAATGTTACATTCTATATATCATGCTCATCCTAAGTGTAGAGTTCATGAGAGTTTCATTCCAAATACAGATATTTCTAATAGCATTTAAGCACAAGAACTGATGTTAAAGTGGCTAACATTAGCCTGCCCCCACACACAAAATTAAGCAAAAGATTGAGATCACAGTATACTCCCCAGATCATCAATTTTTTTTTTATTCTAGCATTTTATTACACATTGAACTATTTAAATTAGAATAATCATATAACATTTAACTATTGAAATACACACAGGTTACAGTCTATATATTTTTTATATAAAAAAGTGAACTAAATAAAAATAGTACTGTGATGCTTGTTTATTAGTACAGTGTTGAAAATGGCTAACAATAATGCACTGGTGTGATAAAAAACACATTTAACTGGTGTTTTTCCAAGAGTATACTCGCACTAAAATATACATCTGTTAAACCTATACCAATGAGAGTATTTCTGTTAACCTAGCTACAAAACTGTTACAAGTCAGTGATACTATTGTGGTATTTTTAGGTTAAACTGATTTACTCAACAGTATTAAGTAGGTCTGCTTTAAAATGGGAGGATTAACAAGATAAATTACAGTGATGCTGAATTTTTAAATTGCTGAGTTTTAAGCTAAGAAATATAGAGAACAGAAATGACATGTAACATAAAATGAGAACAATTTTTATTAAAGCAAAGACAAAACATAGTACGCATTCTTGCATTTGGACATTGGATGGTCACTTTCTACTGGTCTCATAAAATGATAAAAAAATTTTCTTCCCTCAAGATTTCTTCCTGGCAACTAACCCAATTGAGATCCCATATAGTGCTATTTAAATCTGAAGTTTTTCTCAACAGGAAATATTGGATTTACCCATAGTAACTAGTGTTACTCACCTGACTGGTCATTCTCATTTAACATAGGGATGTTCAAAACTTTCAGATATCATCTGTCCTACAACTGAAAGTCGCTACTGTCATTTATATTCTTGCACAATGTGCAGGATTACAGCACTATCTTCTCTTTGGTAGAATATGTATTATTTTTAAATAACATTAAAGACAACTAGAACAAAGTCAACTTAATGGTTTTCTGGACCATGTGAATCTATGTGAATACTGTATATATTGAGACTACACAAAAGAACATCAACAATTTTCATGTTAGATACTTTACTTCAGTAAATACAACTAAATACATTTAATAAATATATAATTAAATATAGTTTAAAATGTCTAAATATATATATATACTCTCTGCATTTCAAGCTACATGTAACTGGAAAAAATTAAGAGAGAGAGTAATTGTACAAAATTATATGTATTTTTTCTGCAGCTTAGACTTGTTTTGCAATTTTATATATTTGGAAAACATTTTCCTAAAAGTGCTGTTCAAAACAGGAGACTACAAATCAAAATTTTAATTTTTTTATACTTAATGTTAAGAATATAAACATCCATGTATTTTAGAAAAAACAAGTAAAAAAAAATCTGACACCTCAGTCAAGTGTCCATACAGATTTTAAATAAAACATATTTGTTGATTTTTTTTTTAAATCTTTAAAAAGGAAGGTAAAATATTACCTTATGTGGGATGACTTTCTAATAATTTTCAATGGTTCTATGGATGGCATAGTATAGAGTGCATGTTTTGGATTGGTAACCAATACCACAGGCCACTGGCCATGCTTCAAATCTATGAATGAAAACATCCCATGATCTACTGCTGCAACTCTGTATCTGATATAAAGACAAAGAAAAATTTCGTATGTGAAATAAAATATGTTATTGTCTTAAGCCTTTAAATTCTATATATTAATTTTAATGAAAACTTATTTAATAACCAAACTGTATATATATATAGAGAGAGAGAGCATTAAAAATATCTCCTTTTGAATATCTTTATGCAGTATTTTATCTCACAGGTTTTTAGATACATCACAATATTCAGAGTGCTAGAAAAACATTTATTTGCTAGTAAATAACATGTATATCCTGAGTTTGCTTTACAGTACTGAGAAAACTAATCATATACGCTATTGCATATTACAAGGTAAACAGCATATAAAAGAAATTTAATATATAAAACTTTGTTAGTGAAATTCAACAAACATTAAAGAATGTCCAAAAATATCACTGAAACAGCTTATTTTACACAAGTCTTAAGGTGTTAGAGGAACTAATCTTTATCAGAAAGAGAATGTCATTGGTATGCTCTCTAATAATAATTATAATTCACTCATATAGATTTAAGTTATAAATCAATATTTAAATTTATGTTAGTGATCATTTTTACAAGAACTAATAGTAACTGCTTCTGTGATAAACTTCCTTCACCAATTTCTTTATTTTTGATTTCCCAACTGAAGAGCTATTTCTGTTAATAAGTATGAGCTATATTTTAAAGTTGCTTTCTGTACAAACATGTGCTCTAATAACTGTCATATTAACTATGTAAATATTCTCATAAAAGATATGACTAAATGTAATATATATATTTATTTGGTCATTACTTGTTAAATTTTTAAAAAATCACAAGTTTTAAATTTTTTTAAAAGTCTGATTAAATTTACCCACAATACAACAAAAAACAAACAAACACAATTTAAGTGAGTATATAGTATTGAAAGTAATTATGGAAACAGTGAATAGAATAAGTATAAAATATAAATATTATTGGATTACTCCCTTCTTTTGTATAAAATGAACTGTACCAAAGTACAGTAACATATTGATAAGTTTATACTGTAATTGGCTGTTATTTAACCAACTAGACAGACAGTGCCAGAGCAGCATGATTGCTTTAAAAGTACAGGCAATAATACTATTCTCAGCAACTGTGTAGTTAACACTCTAAAGGCTTCCAGGACAGAAGTGCCACATGACAAACACATAGAATTATAGTTTTGACTGGTGAAAGTTAATCCATGTGACAGACTGAGGCACAATTTAGCAGATGTATGGACACACTGACGAAGGTATATGTAAATAGTACTAGTGATAATAGAAGTTGTAAAGATTGAAAGCCCAAACACTTCAAAAGTGATATTAAGTAACTCAGTAACCTGAGTGCTTTCGAAAGGTGGACCTTTCTTCTTCAGTTTGCCCTTGAAGAAGAAAGATCCACTTTTCAAATGCACTTGGGTTATGGGGTTTTTATCATTTAATATCAAGACTTACTGAACCTATGTTTTTTTCTGACATCATTAAGTAACTCAGGGTATGTTATTTATATAAAACACAATAATCTATTAAAGATATTATTAATGCTCTAGTTTCAGCAGGACCATTCTTGTACCCTTGTACATAAAATACCTATGGTGTTTGGATCAGGACATACTACCACAATTGCACCACAATTACCACAATTGCAACAAAAGAACAAAAACTGTAAAAGTGAATTTGGTTCTTCTTATCTATTGTACCAAATGTTCCTCTTACATTATCTGCAATAACATATGAAGAAAAATAATGTCTCTCTCCACCAATCCCATGATATTTCTGGTCCAAAGGGTCATTCAGGACTCATTTGCAATACAGCATTAAACATTTAATAAGAAAATGTAATTGTAACTCATTCAAGAATGTTTTTTAACAGACATTTCACAACTTTGACATTTTAATAATATGGTATGTTTATTTCACAAGTAAAACTTTTTTGTAAACGTTGAAACTCACATTTATGACCTATATCTTGGTGTGTGAACTGTAAACAATGAACTTCTAGAATTTTTATTCTATTTTTTTGCTTTTTTCTTAAACCTATATTTATTACCCCAATCAGAGTAGTGTTTTCTGCTAGCTTGATGTTTATGTTTTTAGACCTTCTGTTTGTTCAAAAAGAGATCTTGACCTTTACTGCTCTTTAGTTGAAAATATAATAGCATGTGTCAAAATTATACAAGTGTTTGAAAAAGCTGAAGTTGGTACGATTAACTGTAACCAACAGTAAAAGCAGTATGAAGAGACAAATTTAAACATTTTTGTAACAATTAGAAACCAGACTTTTTCTTTATATCTTCTGGTAACTTTCTTTCCAGACTCGATGTTTTTGTGTGAACTATACCTACTGAAAAGTTACAGGAATATTATTCTATGACAAAATATCAACTATGGATACTAGCAAGTACAGTAGGCTAGGCCTGCAATGGCAAGCTAACCAGATGAAACATTGTATTTCCAATAGATTCTTGCCAATGCTCACAGAATAGCTTTTCCTGACTTCTGCTGCCCTTTATATGTACAATTTTCGCTCTCCACTAACCTTGATACTCCCACCTACCCTCACATGTTTTTACATGAGGCAGCAGCATGACAGCATGCAAATGAGCATGCAACAATCCTCAGCCAATAGGAGCTCAACACAACTCCTATCACACCTGACTCCCTCTATGCAGCTTAGCTCAACTTCATTTTGAGATTGTGCAACAGAAAAGGAAAAGACACCAGAAGTGGAGAAAAAGGATGGAAAGCATGAGGAGAGGTAAGAATATATCGGAAATACATTTTCAGTGTAGGAAAATGTTAGCTTCTGATGCAATATCGTATCTCTTCTCACAGAATAGCTAAAATCCCTCAATGACCTGTTGGAGGGACTGGTATAACAGTACCTAGATGACCTCCTTTCAGAAAGTGTCCAAAGGAAGCTCATGGGGTATGTGAATGAACAGTATGTAAGATACACTTAATGGAGAATGCACCACTTCTGAGCAAGTGAAAATATCCACGAAAATGATGTGTCACTGTCAGAATTTAAAATAAAATATATATTTATATATCTTTCCTTTTTGCCAATTGTCAAACAGAAAAGCTTTTAGTTCTATTTCTTAGTAGTATAAATCTATACTATGTGTTGTTGGGCTTAGGATTCTTCTTCTACAATAGGTGTCTGTGACATGTTAGCAATAAATTCAACGATGAATAAACAGCACGCACTTCACTTGTTTTGTAGTTAATATGTATATTCAGAACAAGTTAACGTATATACAATAAATATTTCAACACTATAGATATTATGGACATATCATAAATACTACATATGTAGTTCTCTCCTTCTCGTCAAATATCCACTTAGGCTTATTCAATTACTTTAGAATTTCGGTTGACAAGCTGAGCTATCTTCTGTATTTCTATCGCACTAGTATTCTCTGTGATTCACTTACAAATGTGGCGTGATTTACCATAATCATTTGGTCTTCTTTCTTTTGAAGATCCTCTGTTCCTTTTGTCAAAGTGCACTCAGGCTGATTCAACAAAGAGACCTCGAACGAGTGATTTACGAGACAACGGATGAGTTGTTGGAGTGGATCATAACCAACCGGTTCCAGGGAGACAAAAGGAAGTGAACCAAAGCCTGACAGACAGTGAGCAGTTTCAAAAGATTGACATGCAGAGGTGATTCATCGACAAAAGAGAACCCAAAAGAGAAGCATCTGTGAAGAGGTGCACCTCCGGATGAGGAGGAGTAAGAGGAACACCTATTGTGTTGTCTAGTTCAATTACCAGACAAATTCTACATGAAGGGAAGGAGGGAGATGGATAATGGCATCCAAGAAATCCTGAATGAGGTTCTAATGATCTTGTAAAGCCCACTGAAGATGTTGCATGTGGGCTTGACCAGGGGAATTAGAGCTTCCAAAGAAGCCCACATCCCCAAAATATATAGAACCTCTTGCACATTTGGAGAAGGAGAGGAGAAAGTGGTTTGAACCAGAAGCTCCATAGATCGCGCATGAAGGGGGAGAAGAGTGGGCCTGGCTGAGGTGGGAATTAAAGAATACCCCAAGATGAAGAAGGTATTGAGTGGGGGAGAGGAAGGACTTCTCCACCTTAACCAGCTAACCTACCTGTACAGCCTCTTGAAGAAGAGACTCGGTGTGAAGGAAAGAAGTGGCATGCAAAGAAGCTAGTCGTCCATATAATGGTGGACACAAAGGCCCCCTAGAATGGAGAAGGTGGAATATGATAAAGGCCTTGACGACCCAACAGAAAATGTATGAAGCTGAAGCTAGCTCAAACAGAAGAGTCTGGAACTGGTGTCCAAAACAAAGAAAATGTTGGGATGCTGGGCAGAAGGGAATATGGATCTAAGCATCTGAAACATCTAACTTCATCATCCAAAGACTGGGAGTGAAATCCCATTAAAGAGATAGGTAGGACTCCATGGTGACTTGAGGAAGCAGTTCAAGGAAAAAAAGTAAAAGTATTTGAAATCATACATTCATAAATTTATTGTAGCATAGAAATAACATGTACTGCACTGTTTAATTAGAGAAAGCACAAAATACTAGTGTATTGTACAACTTATTCACTTTTCTTTTGTATTTTCTATAATTATGTATTGTACTAAAGACAACTTGACAATTTAGTTGTAATTACTCTTTTTTACTTTTAAAATCATTTTGCTAAACAACCCTTTCCATATAACAGTTTGTTTCCTAGTTTTAACTGTCTGTCATTTTTATGCAGTTTAGTTTGCTTTTGACCAGTTGTTTGGAGTTTTAAAAAATCATCCAAGGTAAAAAAGTAATGATATGTTATTTTTTCATGTTTTGTTGTGTTATCTTTATAAACCACACATACACCATAATCTAATTTTTATCTAGAGATATGAATGTAGCAACAGTTAAGCATACTGGAAGCACTATGTGCATTAGAATAAAGTAAAGTATAATGAACAATGGAATTTGTTTGTTAAATTAAAATTAGTTACTTTATTAATGTTCTAACACATTATAAAATTACAAAATGATAATAATAATTGATACATCTTATCATTACTCTCATTAAAATTGTCCTGAAGTTCAATGTCATGCAAGTATGTAAATGCATAACTCTCTCTATCGTTGAAAATTCCAACTACAACTTACCCCTCTTGCTATGGGTAGGTTTAAGTGTGCATGTCTCAACCTTTTAGAGAGTCACATTCAAAACTGAATTAAATTACTTTAATTAACAATGTATACAAATAAACTTGCATCAAAATATAGTTCATAAATCAAATTTTAATATTATATAAGTTTTGCATTTTAATATTAAGAGAAAATGTTGAAATAAATTCTAAATCTCCCCTTGTATGAGAATCATGACATTTGTTCTGTAGGTCTTGCCCATTCTTAAAGATATTTACCACCCTTCTCTGTAGTACAGAGTTTAATGTAAATTACTCACAATAATATATCTATTACTGAGGCAAAGTCTAGTTTTTTTGGCCTTCAATCTTATTTGTTTACAGAGATATAAACTAGAAAGTCAGATCCACTTGCCACACCAACCTGTCACAATTCCTCTTTGACAAATCATTGCCATAGGAAGCAATTATTGAATGATCAGGCCATTGACATATTTTCATTTCTAGGGGAGGGGATGTGGGCACGCCCCCAGAAATCGTTTGAAAATTTAATGCTACGAGATTGGATCTTTAGCCATTTTAACTACAAATACTGCATACACACAATGTAATGTACTGAAATAAAAGAAGCAAGTTCTAATACATAAGTTATAGATGTACATGCTATGAAAAAGTTGTCAGGCCATATCCTGACTGGCCTTACCACTTCCTATGACCCTGCAAGTTGCCAATAATTCTCTCTGATGACTGCTTGATGTGCAAAGTGATTCTCATGTTAAGATTAAAAATTCTTTTCTTCAACTGAAAATTTTCAAGTTTCATTTGTGTAACCTCTAAGTTATCCTAAATAAATATCAAATGTTTTCTCCAATTAAACTTTATATTTTAATTATAATTGATACATGTTAACAATATTCTAATTAAACTTAAAATTGTCCAGAAGTTCAATGTCATGCAACTATGTAAACACTTTTTGAAGTTTTCCTTTGTGACTAAATGTGAATACATAATTTTCTCTTGTTGAAAATTGCAACTACACATTAGCCATCTTGCTATCGGTATGTTATAGTGTGCATGTCACGACCTTTTACAGCATTACATTTAAAATTTAATGTAGTTGTTCTACATATATAATTTACTGGGAAGCAGTACAAGTGTGGGTTACATATCCGCCAATGATGTTGTAGATCTACACAAAATTGATGGCACCCTGACATCAGCACACTAGGAGAAATTCTGGATTTTTTTTTAATATTGCCTTAAAAGATTAAGGACTTAAAACTTGTATACAGTTAAAATATGGATTATTAGCTAAGATTTTAAGCTATACTAATTGGTATAACATAATCAAAAAGTAGTGTAATTAGATTTTGAATGTAGGTCAAAAACCCTCCTGACATGCACAGTAAAGGATACCCGTGCATAGAGGGTTAAATGGTTAGCTTAAAAGTTAAGTAGCTGTGAAATTATTGATCAGATTTAAATAAGATTTTTTATAATGATTCATGTTTAACTTAACTATTTCAAAACCTATTCTTAAAAGCTAATGTATTTAGACTGTCTAAATTAGAAAACCTAAGATAACTAAACTAAAAACAAGAGTTAAGCTACAAGTTTTTAAACTCTAACAATTAACCAAAGTAGAATTAATACCATAACTCTCTAAATGAATGTTTAGCACATTCTTAAAGTAACATTACCTTCGGTTGAGCTTCCAGTCGCTTAGTTCTAACTCAAGACTCCCTGTTGAATGCAGTGTGTACATGGATGGCACTAACCCTAATAACGTGTGTAAGTGACCACATAAGTAGGGTCCACTTTCCCTAAATAAAAATAATGTATTTTATTAAAACATTTTGACTAGCACAAAATATACATTTCAGTGAAACATTACTTGAAAATGATTATTCTATTTTTCCACAGCATATGAAGATATGGGTGGGACCAAGTGTTTTACTACATGATATTAAAGTTTTTCTTTTTTATAAACTTTTTAGAATGTTACCTTTCACAAACTACTGATAATGTCTGATAGTCAGCTTATGTTCTGAAAATCATAAAGTGTATGTACAAAAAATCATCAGACAAAAGAAATAGTTATGAAGTTCCAATTTTGATTGCTGATGAAGAATACCTGTGGGAATGAGAGATAAACTTTGGTTCAGACAATCATGTTATTTTAAGCTAATATTCTTTATCAACTTGATTGTAATAAGAATGTAGAACACATAACTGATAGCTAGGCATACATGTTTAATGATGATTGCCTGTGGTAATGAGAGATAGCACTGCATGAAACTTTGGTTTGGACAATCATGTTATTGTAAGCTAATATTCTTTATCAACTCTCTTGTGATATTGAATGCAAGACACATAACTGATAGCTGGGCATACATGTTTAATGAAGATTACCTGTAGTAATGTTTATTTGTTTTGAATTTCGCACAAAGCTACACGAGGGCTATCTGCACTAGCCAT